CCAGCCGGGACCCCCTTGTGCTGCCTAAGCGCCGCGGCCAGCCGGGACCCCATGGTGATCGGTGAGCAGGAAAGGGCGGCCTGTAGGCAGCCCCCGTGTGCGCCTGCTGCTGGGTTGCCGCAGTGATCAGGAAAGCGCAGCCTGCAGGCAGCACCCCACCCTGGCCCACAGCTCAAGGGAGAGTACAACATGCAGTGGAGGCCCAGGAGCCTGAGAGATCAACAGAGAGGGGTGCCTGCTCCAAGCCTCCATGGTGTGGCTGGGGGCAGGCCCCCCAGCAGACACACACACACACACACACACACACACACAGCGCCTACTCTGAGCCTCCAATGTGGCTGGAGGCAGACCCCCAGCAGGGACACACACACACACACACACACACACACACACACACGGGACGCCTGCTCCGAGCCTCTGCTGCCAGACTGTGGCCGTCAGTGGGACATCCACTGAGGGCTCCCGGACTGAGGGGTAGGCTGGGCTGAGGGAACCCCACCCCCCAGTGCACGAATTTCGTGCACTGGGCCTCTAGTTGTTCTATGTTTAACCTGAGTTACATTTAATTTGGTAAATGCCATTGCTATTGATTTATTAGTAAGTCTGTAGTTACTTCTTGTAAAATTGCTCTTGTTTAACAACAGAAAAGCACAGCATCATTACAGAAGCAAATCTTTGGATTTACACAAAGGCTGCACACAGCAGAAGTGGAGCGCCGCTCACTGCGCTTAGAGGTCACAGAATTCAAACGAAATGTGAATGAGATGAAAAAGGAGCTTGACAAAGCCCAGGGTCTCCAAATGCAATTAAATGAATTTAAGCACTCTGTAAGTATACATGTTTTGTATGTATGGCTTTGGTGAACTCTCCTCTGTGTGTGTTTGTGTGTGTGTGTGTATGTTTGTTTTCTTTAACTTAAGTTTTTTCAAATAATTTGAAGTGTCATTAAGATTTCTTTTTCTTCAGAATACTTCCCTTCTGAAATACCCCAACATGTAGTTCATACTTCAAAGTTGGTAAGGAGACTACATCTTAAACATTCTCACCATAAGAAAAGCAATGATAATTATGTGACATGATAGAGGTGTTAGCTAATGCTACAGTGGTAACCATATTGCAACACATAAATTTATCAAATTAACATATTGTACACCTAAACTACACAATGTTATATGTCAGTTATATCCTAATTCACACAAAGAGTTATACCAGATGCTTAAAGGAATACTGATTCTGTGTCAGCAGAACTCATAATGCTGTTAAAATTTATGCTCTGAAAGTATAAAAAGAGATTCAATGAGGATAGCTTAACAAATGTATAATAAACAAACAAAAAATGCCCCAATGGAGGAGCCTGATGTTTGCAGTGGGGGCTGGGATTTTTTTCTCTTTTCCTTTTATATTGAATATTTTGAGTAAATTAGATTACTCAGTATGAAATCAAGTTGATTTTCTAAAGAAATATTCATTTTATCTAACTTCTATTAAAGATTTATATGCATTATTTAAGAAAGCAGAAGATAGCTGAGAAACGAAAGGCTTATGTCAAATAACATTAGCTCAAGATTGAAATGTATAAATACATGAAGCATAACAAAATGCAGATATCTAATATTCTACTTGCAGTTGGGTTACTTATAACATTGATGTTCCTAATATGGATATAGGAATATCGAGTTAAAATATGACTCTGAAACTTGAAAACTGTATATAACTGATGATAGATAATATAAATATGAATACAATATTGGTTTCTTAAACCTACCAACAAGGTACTTTGTGTACCCCCTCTTGGGAAACCTAAATTTTGCAAGTTTAACTTCAGTTTAAATGTATCTTTTGGTTAATTTGTAATTTGCAGTTTTCACATTTGTTGTAACAGAGACAGCAGCAGATAGTAGCTCAGTTATTAATGCTATGATAATGTAAATTGCTAATGTTAAATATTATTTCAAATAGCTATACCTTCAAAGGGCGAAGAGTTCTTATAAATTCAGCATGTCAGGTAATCATGAATCGCCTTTCTGATTTATTTTTCTTTTTGATGAATGTCTAAAGACAATACAGTTTCCCCCCTCATTCTCTTAGTTGTTTGCTCAGAGAAGAAAATTGTATGAGCTGCTTTATTTTTTTTCTGATGATAAAGGTAATATATAATACCCAAATAAAAATACAAACAAGTATAAAGAAGAAAGTTCTAATCCCTCTAATCTTACCACCTAGGACCAACCACTTTTGAAGCGTGGATGTGTTTTGTTCCCTGCATTTTTCTCTGTGTATATGTGCAGATAGGAATGTAGAGTTAAAATACTACTTTTTTATATTTTTAAAGTACTACAAACATTTTCCTGTGTCATTTATTATTGATTTTATTTTAGATAAATTAATATTCTCTCATATGAGTGCATCAACATTTGACTGTTCCCTACTTATAGACACTTATTTTCCAAAAATGTTTTGCCATACTTAAATCATAAAGAGCTGTTGTGTATACTTTAAAAGCCAATTCCTTCAGTGTGTGTGTCTCTCTCCTTTTGATTTTCTTTCAGTTGCATATACTAACTAAATTTGGGATCTTGAGATGGTCCGCCAAAATGGAAAGAGACAGCCATCGATGCAATTTGAGATTTAGAATGTAGGCAACTATAAATAGGTTTAGCTAATAGTGGACTTCCTGAAAATTGGAGGATCCTTTATAATATGTTGTTCCCTGTAATATGTTTGAAGAATTCTGGGTATTCTACACAATAAGATTTCCTAGTTCATATTTAAGTATTAGGAAAAGAAGTTAACATCTTATCTTTGATTAGTTTGAAAGTCATCAGGGCTCAATTTCCAGAATCTAGAGAGGTTATAAGAGTCTGAAGAAAAGTTGCTAGAAGGTGACAAAATCCTTTTTAAGGGCTCTGGTTGAATAAATGGCTTGCATCAAAAGCTAAGAATATGTTCCATGAAATATTTAGTGTGAATTCCTTCAACTGAAGTGTAGAAATAAAAGTAGAATTAATGGAAGTAATAATTGAGGGAATGAGATATGTAATTTTTATATTTTGACATACAATTGTAAGGTATAAAATTGTTGATGTAAGAAACATTCAAACCTATAGAGAATTTTTATGATTTTGGGTCTCACAGATGATAATTGCTGGGGAGCAAAATCTCAGTGGATTGAGAAAATGCTTTTGAGGATGTCAATTTTGCAGGTTTTTTTTAATACATTACAGTCAAGGAGAAGACATAAAAGGAAGGTTACATGGAATTCATTGGTAGTAGATTAAGGGGCAGGAGAAAGCAAAGTCTCTGGGATTGGATAAAAAGTAAAATGAAGAGACACACTTCTTTTATGTTGGTGGGAATGGGACTGTTACTAATTAACATGTCCAGCACATAGAGTGCAATGAGGGGAACAAGATAACAGTGCAGGGTTCTGTGGCCTCTTGCTCTGGTGCTGGCAGTGTGCCCTGAGGGGGTCTGGCAGAGATGACTCTGACATTTCAAAGGTATGTTATCTTAGATGCAAAAGGACAACTGACAGGCTCAGTTAAGGTAAAGACTGACCTTTGTCAAGGAAGCCACAGGAATAGGACATGACTACCCCCATGACCCTCTTTTAGTGAGGAATGTGTGTGTTCAGACCATCCTATGTGTTTGCTTTTAGTCTCCGAGTTTGTAGGGCTCACCATGCAGGCCTCCTCTGAGCTTGTCAGGTTTAGTATGTGGCCCCTTTTTCATCCACAAACTTAGTGTGATTTTTAACATTTAATCACATATTAATAGATATATAGGCATTCACCCTAATCACTTTATTTTTTCACCCTAATCACTTTAGAGTATTGATTCATTTATTTCTCTCATATCAATAATAGTTCAATACTTTATTTTACAGACGAGGAATATGGGGCACAGCATAGCTAAGTGACTTGCCTAGCAGGTCAGGCTCTAAAACTCCTACTTTTAACCATTTCATGGTAGTGGCTAATGTTCATATCCAGTTCTGTTAATAAAGGATTGTTTTATAAAAATGTAATAGACTGGGGAAAATAGGCTGTTTTTCTCTTTAAAAATGGGGAATGTGCCTGCTGCCACTCATCTTTCACTGATTTCCATCTTTCACTGATTTCAGGCAAACTGTGTATGAGGAAAATATAATAGCTTGTTTAGATTGGTCTAAAATTGTAACGTAACATTCAGTCTGCCAAAAGCTACTCAGTACTTTTATTGCTTTGGAATACCATGTTCATCTACGGACAGTTGTTCTTAGACAGCTAACTGCCATGATCTTATTTTATTAGCTTCTTACAATTGCTTTCACACACCCTCTCTTTGTTATTCCTACGTTGCTATGCTTGTTTGATCCTGTTTGCAGAAGGCTGGATGGAATTGAGGCATTCTCCAGGAGGGATAGATGGATGAGAGAGGCTACATTAGCTAAGTTTTTGCTAACGGAGAAATTCTGGAGGAGGCGGGAAGAAGTCCTGCAAAATGGCAGGGATCTTGATTTATAGAATCAAGTAGATTGCAAAGGACAGAATGGTCTGATGACAAGGGGCAACAATTTAAAACAACATAACGAGTAAAAGGTAGACGAAGTACAAAAATATTTGTTCACAAGTCCCAGAAGAGTGCTATGGTGTTGGGGAGTAGAAGGAGAGTAAAAAGTTGAAATGGAGCTGGAGTGTAGAGAGGAGGTTTTATAGTAGATGTTTTCAAAGTGTAATGGGACAATGTGGAGAGTGAGACAGCTGTTAAGAGGGAATGAGAAGATGTGTTCCCTAAAATAAACACTGTATAAGTATCAGTAATGTATTAGATATACCTTTACTACTTGTGCCCAGGAAATGAGGCATCTTTCCTGTGTGCCTTTTGATCCTTCTCATTACTTTCTATTAACTTAGGTTAATAATTAGGAATCTATTTTTATACTATACTGTTGCCTTTTGAAACTTAATCAGTATTGAGGAGTGCATTATATACACCTTTGAAAAGGCAAATAATCGTTAAAAACCAGTTGCCTCTGGGAGGTAGCAGGCCAGGTACTGATGCCAAAGTAAAACTGAGTATATGATAATATAGAAAGACCCATGTATAAATCTATCCTCAAACTGAGTTCCAGCAAATTGTTCTCTCTACATGAACCACATGCTTGCTATTGTTGACCCAAGAGGAAACTATAAGCACATTTCTATTTTTGTCTCATTTGTCAGAAAACTCAGAGGTAGGTAAAGTCCACATTCAACTGTACTAATGTATATTTTTCAGATGCATAGAAACTTGTTAAAGGCTTTAATTCCCACAATCATCTATATATATAAAAAGTCAGTGACTGTAATGACTATAACGACTATGATGTCCACTGTGGCAGCCAACCGGCCCAATTGGAGCCCAAATCGGACCCCAGCCTCCTGTGGCCCCTCCCCCGGGCCAGCCCAACCTCTGATCGCCCCCCCCCCCAACCCCAATCAGGGGTGGGGCCGGCTGACCTCCCTCGGCCCCGGGGGCAGCCGACCTCCCATGTCCCCTCATCCCCCCCCCCCCTGCGGTCCGGCCTGATCGGCCCTCATTGGGGCGGACTAGCCGGACCCCCACCCAGTGCATGAATTTTGTGCACCAGGCCTCTAGTAATCTTTATAAAACATGCTTATATATCAAGATTTAAACTGAACATTGTGGATTTACTTGAAATAAGTTTCCCAAGATTTTATTTAACTAAATATGATAACGTTGAAAGTATGGCTGTTGTGCTTTAAAAACCAGAGTGATTATTTTTTATCTTGACTTACGAAGCAAATTTTACGTTTGTCATGTATCAGACATTTACAAATGTTTGTATTATACTCTTTATGTTAGCAAATACAGTTCTGAAGATTAAATGATACAAAATGCAGTTAGCTGATAATTGATTTTTTCCCCTTATTTCAGAAATTGATCACCCATGAGAAGTTTGAAAGTGCATGTGAAGAACTGAATAATGCATTATTTCGGGAACAGCAGGCACAAATGCTATTGAATGAACAGGCACAGCAACTACAGGAGTTGAATTATAGACTCGAATTGCATTCCAGTGAGGAAGCTGACAAAAACCAAACTCTGGGAGAAGCGGTTAAGGTAGGAAAACATTCCTTGCATAATGGTCTGTTTCCTCTAAGCGTGGGTCCTTGAGGGACTCATGTCTATCTCCTGAGCAGGGAACCGATCCCAAGATATGAAATTTTTATTCTCTAAGAGCTTATACAGATGGAATGAAACATGGTTCTGGGACTTCAATTCCACATGTATTGAAAAATGTAAAAGTAGGTGTTACTTGCTAGTTGAAAACAAAGTGGAGATTTTTCAGTAATAATATTCTTTATTTCATTTTTCTTTCTTGATTCTCCCCCCACACCCTACTTTTAAAAACTTGTTTTACACCCTCCAGACCTTGAAACTCCACATACTTGTTGGATTTTGAAAGGTTCCAGGTCTAGGTCTCTGATTCTTATGTAAGAGCCTGCTTAGGGATAGAGAAGGTTTGCCTAGGAAGAGCTGTTCTCCTTCCCTGTCATCTATTTGTGGGAAAGGTCTCTAGAAGGGAAAATAAAATATTTGTCATTAGAAAATTTCATTAATAGATTTAGGACTATGGTATTTGTTGGCAATGCTGGCCATATAGTATAATAGGATTCTAGTTTATGGTTACAATACTTGTGGAGTTTTTGCTAGTGAGGTTATACACATGGAATGGAACAACTAATTCCAGGAAAACCAAAATGATATAATAAGCCTCTATATTAGGTATCATACCTAATACAGTAAGCAACTCAGAGTTAGTATATAACTTATTATACTAATAATGTATATCCTAATAGCTCAATACTAATACTACTAATAAAATAGTCAAAATTTATTGAGAAGCTTCCTGTTTGTCAGGCACTGTGCTAAATACTTTATAAACAATTCTCTCATATAATCCTCACACAAACTCTGTGGGATTATTCTCATTTTGTAAATGAGAAAACTGAGGTATAAAGAAGTTACATAACTTGTACAACCATTAGTGGTAGACTGAGGGAGTCAGACTTCACATCTGCTTTCCTAACCACCACCTATGTGTATTATTGATTCATAGCATACATATGTCAGGCTCTGTGCTGTGGTCTCTACATGAATTATTTTACATCATTCTTAAGTTAGCTTGTGAAATAGGTACTGTTATTCCCATTGATTTTTGATAAATTGAGAGAGATCTCAGTGGAGTTGATTAGGGTCTCCTGGCCTATAAATATTGAAACTGGGATTTAGTTTTTAGAAACATTAATTTAAAATTATTAACCTGATTTCTTATTATTGTAGATTTAGATTCATTCCATTTTTTCCCCTTGCTATTAGAAATATTTCTAAGATGAGCAACCCTGTAGCTAAACCTTTATTTACATAGCTATGATTATTTCCTCAGGGTAATTTCCTAGATGAGAATTACTAGGGCAAAAGCCACATATGTTTTAGTGTAAATATTATCATATGGCCTATAGCATTTTTTTACCAGTTATAATCTCTCCTAAGACGTATGAGAATTTCACTGTTTCCTTAACTTGGCTATGACTATTTAAATTCCTCTCCCTCCCCCAATTTGATCAATATGTTATTGTTACTCTTTGTATTTATTTGATTACTAATCAAGTTGAACATTTCTATAAGTAAATTGGTCATTGAACAACAGTTTTATGCTTCATGTTCCATTAACATATAATATAATTAACCATGCTTTGAATAAGCATATAACTGTGTCATATTGGAGTCTTTTCTCTTTGCAATAGCTTGTAGTTTGTGTTCAGTTATAGTATCTTCCTGCAGATAAAAAGCTGTATTAATTTCTTTAAAATGCCTGTAGCTTAAATATTGTTGTCAGGAGTGGAGAATTGTTTAATTACTACCTCTTAATTAGAAGTAGCAGGTGGTAATGTGAAAATGCTCTCTTGCGGGAGGAGCATGATTCAGTAGAAAAAGCACTGGCCTTGGAACAAGTATGTCTGAAATCAAATCCCAGTTCTGTCACTTGGGCAAATAATTTAACCTTTATGAACCTCAGTTTCCTCTTCTGCAAAATTAGAGATAATGATACTTAAGTTCCAGAAGTTTTATGATAATTAATTAAGATACTGTTTGAAAAGCAAGTATATGCTTGATAATATTCTTCTGTTTTTCAATAATACTTGAACGAATAGTATTTTTATGTGTCATTTTTCTTTAAAAAAAGTATATTGCTTCTTCTTCCTTATAAAAACAAAATTAAGATCATGAATAGGAGATATGGAAAACTACAGAAGGAAAAACAAATTACTTGGAACTTATAATTTGAAAACAACCACTTTTGACATTTGGGGTTTTGTTTTTAATCATTTGTTCTATATGTAATGGTTTTTATAAATCATACTTTGGACTTGATGATCAAAATGGCCCTTCTTTATGATACTGCTAGATTTTGGATAAGACCCTTCTTGTATTAAGAGTAAAGGAGCCCAGCAGGTGTGGCTCAGTGGTTGAGTGTCAACCCATGAACCAGGAGGGCACGGTTCAATTCCCAGTCAGGGTACATGCCCGGGTTTTGGATTTGATACCCAGTAGGGGATATGCAGGAGGCAGCTGATCAGTGATTCTCTCTCATCACTGATGTTTCTATTTCTCTGAAATAATAATAATAATAATAATAATAATAATAATAATAAGTAAAGGAAATCTCCAAATCCCAAGAATAAAAATATAACAAGACCAACAAATCCCAATGAATGGGAATCAAAGTTAGCACTGTGAGCAGATGCTGGACTTGCCCTGCTGGCAAATACCAAGTCCAATGCTGGAAGTAGGAGACCTAGCTTTGGGGTCCACCAGCTGATTTGGCCTTGAACCCGAGACGCCCATGTTAAGGAATTGCTTAATAACCTGAATGTTAGGTCAGTAGCGTCTAGACCGAAGCTAATGTATATTTTTTTCTGGAAGAAAGCTTGCCTAATTTACTTCCTTCAGGAGTCCCCTCAGACTAAGATCAGCCAAGTAATTGGCACATGAATAAATAGATATATTAATCATATATTCATCCACATTGCTAACCTCTCTTATCAGTTTGAATAATATTTTATCTGTACTTTGTAGGGAATTCTAATTAGACCATAATATTATTTGTTTTATAGTGACAGTTTTGTCTCTCCTTTTCAAACCTTAACCCTTTAATTTTTTCCCTTTCTTTCTGCACTGGCTAGGATACAGTGCTGAGTATAAATGGAAATAGTAGGCATCCTTGTCCTGTTCCCAGTCTTAAGAAAATCTTTCTAATATTTCCCCATTAACAAGGAAGTTTGCTATAGGTTTTTAGTTGATAATCATTATTGGGTTAAAGGAGTTATCTTCCTATATTATGCGTTATTTAAAAAATCATGAATGAATGTTGGATGTAATAAAATACTTTTTGTGCCTCTTTTGAGATAATTATATAAATACTAGAGGCCCAGTGCACTAATTCATGCATGGGTGGGGTCTGGCTGGCGCACCCGGATGGGGACCCATTGGGCTGGCGGGGGAGAGGGCGGGCGGTTGGCCAGCTGGCCCTGCCCCCGATCGGGGTGTTGGGACTGACTGGGGGCCTGGCCGGCCAGGCCGATCAGGGTCTAGATCACGCTGGTTGGCTGCCGCAGTGCATCTCATAGCCAGGTCGTTCTGGTCGTTTTGCCATTCCAGTCGCTGGGCTTTTATATATATAGATTTTTCTCTTACTATGTTAGCATGTTGGATTATATCAGGGATTGGCAACTAAGTCCCACTGCTTGTATTTGTATGGCCTGTGAGCTAAGAATGGTTTTTACATGTTTAAAGGACCATAAAAAATAAACAAATAAACAAACCAAAGAAGAATATGTGACAGAGAATATATGTGGCATGCAAAGTTTTTCTTATCTAAAGTATGCTGACTCATGTAATACTAGTACATTATTCAGCATTGTAATATTAAGCCAGCCTTGCATTCCTGAAATAAACCCAGGTTAGTTTTGATGATTTAAAAAAATACATTGTTACACTGAATTTGTTAATTTTTCACTTAAGATTTTAAAATTTATGTTTCTAGTCATGATTATCTTATAATTTCTCTCATTATATCCTTGTCAGTTTTTGGTTATCAAAGTTTTGCTAATGTGACATGACTTCCTTTCTCACTCTGAACACATGCATTTTGGAGTATTCAGCCAAGCTTAAAACAAATTGAGCAAAATGCTCACATAATAGAAATAAAGAGGATATTCAAAACCAAATGAGTGAGAGCTGAAGTCTAAATAGCTCACTGGGGTGTGCAATCCCAGCTAGAGGCTAGAGTTGATTATCATAACATTAGGGAAATGTGGGCTTCAACCCCTCTCTTCTCTGCACTAGGAAAGAGCTACCTGTGTGAAGCTGGGAGTCAGGAAGGGCTGCCCGACTGTGAAATGGGGCCTAGAACGTCACTGCCTGCCACCTACAGGGGAATTTGATGTCTACTATGGACATTGGGTAGGAAAAAGAATTTGGAACCCCAGGCCTGTGCCACATAAGAAAGTAGTTTATGTTACTCCTAGTCCAAGGACTGTTCAGTTGAGAATTATCTTCAAAATGGTCCAACCCTTGTAGAACCAGCGTGACCTTGTAGAAGGAAATTTAAAATATTCAGTAGGGATGCTTCAGAGACTATAATGGGAAATTCAATATGACAAAGCATGTAAAGAAATACTTGTACATCAGATGAGAAAATTTGCACCTCAGGTAGTAGGAATGCTATTTAAAATGTTGGAAGGTAGTTTAAAAGATATTTTAAAAATAATGTTTTTAAATGTTTTGAGAAATAAGGTATGAATAGAAATTTTAAGACAAGAAATGAAAATCATCATTGAAATGAAAAACTCAGTGAATGGTTTGAATATTGGGTAGATATAGATGGAAAGATATCAGTGGATTGGAAGATAGCTGAGGAAATCACTTAGAATGCTCTGCAGAGGGACAGAGTGATGGGTAATAGGAAGTTAATAGAAAAGAAAAAGAGAATGAGATTTATTTAATAAAAGTGAAAATAGAATAATTTGTAATAAACGTTCAGGAACGGAATCAGA